ACTGATCTGAGTGAATGATTAACCTGGGCTTTACAGTCTCCATGAAAATGTTGCTTGGCTGTTTTGTTACTAAATGACTTATTATGCATACCCTAGGATTAAGAGGATGAGTGGTTGTTTCCGAGGAAAATGCCTCGGTTGCCGTTTCATGTTTGGAGAAGTTCACCAGCCTAGTCAGTTCCAGCTTGTCCCCCCAGGACATGTTTGTTGGATATGGGATTCGCGACGCTCAACTCAGGGCAACTGGCGATAACTCGGAGTTACTCTACCACTGGCAACGCAAGGGTGCTACTTCGGCGTTTTAGTTACCTACAGTTTGAGCCAGTCTTGATAGGAATAAAGGCCCTGGACGCGTAGCATCCTACGGCGACTAGATGTGCTCCTAACGCGACTGCACGCGATAAGAGTGATGAGACATGTGATTGGATAACTGCGTTACGTCATCGGTGCACCCATTGGTTGCCTTCTCTTGACGCGCGCGTGCCAACGCCGCCGTTAATGCGTGAGTGTTGTCTGCGCTCACTTGCGCCCCAGTGGGGGAGGTGGTCTAAGCCCGCCTTCAAAGTAGTAGGTCATGAGATACAAATCCTTGGAATGGAACACTGACAATTCTGTGGACACACAAACAGACTTTCCCAGAAGTGAAGAGCTTACTGAAGTAAGATTTAAAAGTTGGTCAATGGCAAACACCGAGTTCCTTACCCTCAGTACTAAACATGTTGAGGAAGCTGTTGTGTGATTATAGCGTACGCATTCCTACAGGTTGTAACAGCTGTATATAGGCGCAAATCCCAGCAACCGCGGTCCAGGAGTCTCACTCACGGGACACCCAAGACCCATAATGGACTCCGTCATGGCAACGTTGGATTGGCCGGAGACTTGACCAATAAAAACTCGCCGCTCATGTGCAAATGGGTTTTCTACAAATATTTTTGAGTACTTTTTTGCAGAGGCATAGTGTGTGGTAGGAAGTTGGCGTACTTGGCTGCCAGAGGTAACAGCGCCAATTCAAGGAGGACTGATTATGACTATTTTGGTTGATTTTCGAGCGGATGTCACCTTTTTCAGAGAGTGTAACAAGGATCGAGACATTCCCAAACTCACCAATTTTCCTGACCGACTTCCGTACCTCCACTTTGCACACGGGCAATTCTTTACCGGACTGTGAAGCCAGCTTCTCTCGGATGCGGTGGATGACCAGAACGCCACCGGGTTGCGCCTCGGTTTTCCGGCACTCCTGACGATACCAGACGTTCTTGCGACAACCGCAAAGCTTCCGGACGACCCGCGGGGCTGCCTTCTTGCACTCGCAGCCCTCTCGTTGCCATTCCTCAAACTCAACACGACGGTAGGCCCTGCCCTCGTCTCCTCCACTGCGCACGCAGGGACCGGTGAGTATGTTCGAGTCCGGACAGACTT